AACACATTTATTGCTCACTGTTCTGGAGGCTGGGAAGTCCAAGATCAAGGTGCTAGCAGATTCGCTGTCTGATGAGGGCCTACTTCTCGATTCATAGAGGGCTCCTTCTAGCAACGTCCTCATGTGGAAGGAGTGAGCAAACTCTCTGAGGTATCTTTTTAATTTTTTTTTAAAGGTTTCTCCCATAAGGTATGTGTGCTTGCTGGGGAGACAGAGACAGTGAGAGACAGAGAGTGAGAAATCTCCCCCTGGAGGGATGGCCATGCCACAATCCCTTCTCCTCCATTTTCTTCCTGGGATGCTGGGCCCCCAATGTGAGTTTCAAGCTGCTGGGTCCAAGACTCAAACTGTGGTCAGCCACGTGGGAGTCCAGTGCCTTAAACACCATGCTCCCTGTTGACTCCTCTGAGGTATCTTTTATATAGGCATAAATCCCATTTATGTGGGCTCCACCATCATGACCTAATCACCACCGAAAACCTCATTTCTTAACTGTCACATTTGGGGTTAGGATTTCAGCACAGAGTTTTGAGTGAACCCGAATGTTCAGTCTGTATAAATGGGTTGAGTGGGCACTGTGGAGGCTTTTGTCATCTAGAATATCTGACCCAAGAGGGTAACCAGGGGCTGTGTGATGTTTGCAGTGGTAGAGAGCAGGGTGGAACACAGCTGTCATGTCAGGAAACAGAGGAGTCAGGAAAATCTCACGGGACCCACCCAAGTCCTCATACTTCAGCTTCACGGGAGAGTCAGTATTTGAACACCCACCGCACAGAGGGCCAGCCAGTGTTAGCTCGAGGAATGGCCCGCCACAGGGGCCGCAGTGATGGCCAGTTAAGTCAACGCCTCTTGATCCATTAGCTGTTCCTCCCCTAGGTCTCAATACTTTGCGAAATGAGGCCCGCAGGAGGGAAGGAAGGCAAAAGGCAATAAAAGAAAAAGATATCTTCAAGCCAATGGTCTCTCTTCCCTAAGGGGCCATGTCCTGGCTTAAACCTGGACCCTGGTTTAAGATGGAGGGGAAGCCATGGGCTTTTAACTAAGTTTGAAGGTAAGATTGAAGGCCACACTGAGTTTACTAGCCAGAACTGACCAAGAGTTACGTGGCATTTGACCATTGCTAAGGGGTTAGAAGGAGAGTTTGGACAGAGTGTAGTCGAATCTGTGATCAGAAAAACATAAAACAGCTTTATGTTTCTATTTCTTGGGGTTACTGGTCCCCGATAAATTGGAGAAAGAGAGTATTTGGCCACGTGGAAAGTCTAAGCTGGATCTTCGAGCCTGTCTCGGTCTGTTTTAAATACAGCTTCACCTCTCCCGGAGAATGCTGGGCAGCGACACCCTCCTTCCTGTTCCCAAGTCCCTAGTCATTGTCGCAGAAGGCAAGACCTTAGCACACAGATTGCAAAGTTGCTGATCGCTGGTTGCACTGCTGTCATTTCCCAGGAGAGACAGATGTCCCCAGATTGCTCTCCTGGCAGGGTCCCTTGGGCCAGCAGGAAACAGAATTTCCCAACACTCGTATTGTTTGTGGAGATTTTCCCCATTTCTCAGGGTCCCTCCAGATGTCATCCTGCTCCAAGCTTAGCTGACGGGAACTGCGTGACCCGCGGTGCTCTTCCTTTATAGGGTCTATCTGGGTTCAATCTCGACCCCGCAGTTAGCGGTGTGACCTTGGGTAAGGCCTCGTCCCTCTCTGAGCGCCTCTGGGCAGCGAGGTGGTTGCCCTGCTTCACCCACACCAGGAGCCTGCAGCTCTGTCCCTGTGTGTGCTGGCCTCTACCGGCCAGCTTCAGCCCTCGCAGCTAATTCAGTTTTCTGCTTGGCTAGGTACTGAGGCTTTGGCACAGCTGAGAAACAGAACATGCCAGAGACGGCCTTTGCCCGGCCAGCTACTACACAGACGCTACCAAAGGAAGCCCCGTGGTGACCACAGAGAAGATGGAGGAGGGCAGGGGAGACACCAGCAGCACCTCCCTTTGCCCTGTACCTCACTCTCCAAAGCTTTGCAATCCCCCTGCAGACGAGCCCGTGGCTCACCACACCGGGTGACGCAGTATTCTCCAAGATGAGGGGCAAAGCAGTCACATGTGCAGTTGCCATTCAGAAAATGTTAGATCCGAGTCTCGATAATGTTCTCTTCTAAATTAAAGGAGGATCGTCACAGCCTCAGATAAACGTGTGTGGTGTCTGTGTGTGTGTGTGTGTGTGTGTGTGTGTGTGTGTGACACACACGCACATGCCAGAGTGATGCGCAGTGTGAGAGGAAAGCACCCCCCACCCCCGTAGGATGTGATTACACCACGGTCTTTGCTCCGGGTCTCCATCCTGTTGGGACCCTGGGCAAGTGCACGAGGTCCTGCCAAGGCTGGGACTTGAACCTCGGTCAGCCACGTGGGATGGCCTGCGAAGCCTCGATGATTACATGTGACAGTAGGTGGTCATGTACGGTTTGCAAAGTGCCTTTGTCTGCGTTCCCTTGTTCAGTCACCGCAACGCCCCTTTGAAGTAGGAGTATTACCCTCATTTTAACACACGGAGAAACGGGCTCAGAGAGAACAAGCCAGCGGCCTCGCGTATGCTGGGAGTCTGGGGTAGACTCTGGATATGAGTGCAAATCCTTGCCCTTCCCATATGTGGGCCTGCCATACTCCCCTCCCCCCCCTTTTTAAAATTGCTATAGGGCACGTGCACTTGTTGGCCACAAAGAGAGAAAGAGAGAGAGAGCGAGAGAGAAATCCCTGGGGGGATGGCCACGCCGCAATCCCTTCTCCACTCTCCTTTCAGGATTTTAGGCACGCATGCGCACGTGCGTAGCTGAGCTTTCAAACTGCTGGGTCCAGGACTCAACCGTGCAGGCAGATGGCCTGGCATCGAATCTCACTAATGGTGGTCGGGGCATGTCCACAAACGTTGTGCCTCGTGTGCTCCTCTGTAAGACAGAGGTAGTAATGATTTTTGTATAAAGGGACTCTTGGAAAACTCCATCCCAAAGCGTCGCTGTTGTTAGTTGCCTCGTAATGATCCTCTTCTGGGAACCAGACTGATTTGTCAAACCGTCATTAGGAGAGCGTGGAACCCCAAGGCTTGGGCCATTGCACTCACAGGAGGGAATTTCTGAACCAACTATGACTAAGGAGAGGAACGAAATCGTAAGTCGTTCCTCAAGTTTCACAGCTGGCTCTACGTCCTGAGAACTCTTACGTCTTAACTTCTTCATAATCTTTACGTTAGGGCAAGATCAGAACCCGCCTCTTGGCCGCTCTAACGAGGAGGAAAGTCGTGAGTGGACACAGCACCGTCGGCTGTCTCAGAGACGAGAAAGGCCAGCCGGTCGCCTCTTCCAGCGAGGCGGCAGTGCCAGGCTGTGTGCGCGGAGTCGGCCAGAGCTGCGAGAGGGCACGTGCACCTGCCAGGGAGACACAGAGAGGGAGAAGGAGAAAGCACCCCCACAGGGCACGGTCCCCTCCTCTCTCTCCTTTCAGGATCTTGGGCCCACACATGCACCCTGCGTGTTTTTCAAGCCACCAGGGCTGGGATTTGAACTGCTCTTGGCCTCAGCTCCCTTAATAATTCACGGGGCTGGTCTGACCCCGCTTATTTATGTTAGGGAAACGTCAGAACCCGCCTCTCAGTGCCTCCGAATCAGACGAAAAGCTGTGACTGGGCACAGTAACTCTCCTGTCTCCTATTATCGTAACTTAGGACTTCACGACGAGCTGCAAAGGTAGCTCCTTTTCTGTGCTGTTCAGTTTTCTGCCTGAGAGTGGGCGACCACCCCAGAAGAAGACTTTCTCTGAGCCAACTAGGACTGTGAGCTCCAAGGAAGGAGGTGTTCACGGAGGTGGAAGATAAGGGACAAACCCAGCCCTGGGGCCCAGGCTCCTCTTCCGCCGCGGCCCCAGCTGGTGACCGCATGTAGGCTGCTCTTCCTTCCCTGTGAAGGCGCTCCCACTTTTACCCCTTGCGCGTTAACGCCCGGCTACACGCAGCGCCCCGCTCTCCGAATCCTGCCGGGAGCCCTCGCTTTCCTTCTATGAGAGAAAGAGAGAAGCAACCTCCAGAGGATTGTCACGCTGCGACGCACCCCCGGCCTCGGCAGACCGGATCCTGGGCACACACGAGCACGCCCGGTGTGGACGGGAGCTGTTGGGGCCTCCCAGGAGGAAGCCTCGCTGCTGCACCGCTGCAGCTGGCTCACTCTGGGACTTCCGAACTTCGCCTGTCCCCCTGCCACTGTCCGTCTTCTGTGAAGATAAGGGAGTTTAGTGTGAAGGGGCCACGAGCTTCCTCCATGAAGGATCAGATAGTAAGTGTACCCGGCTCTGCAGTCCAGTGACCGACTGCCTGAAAACAGCTGCGGACCCTGTGTAAAGAGCGGCCATGGCGAGGCCCCAGCAAACCCAAGTTCATGGCAGGGCTCCATGAATCCCCGGTTCGTGGGGCCTAGTGGGGTGCTGCATGTGACTAAGTCGCTGCTGCACAGGCTCGGAACACACAGGGACCCACGGGTGACTCCTGGGCCCACTCTAGAGGCCAGGCATGGCGTGTACCTGGAATCCCAGTGACTAAGGGAGGCTGAGGTGGGAGGATGCGCCCTCGAGGCTGGCCTGCCAACACCCCGAGACCCTGTCTAAAACCAACAAACAGGACGCTTTGTTTATGGACACAAGTCTGAATGTCGCCTTATTTCCATGAGTCGCAAAACATTCTCCTGCCCTCCCCCCCAGTCATTTCAATGTAGAATACCATGCACAGGCTAGGAACATGGCCAGGGCCAGACTCGGCCTGCGAGCCTATTCGTTAGCTCCTGTTCACTTATCCTTAATATTTAAAAAGATTTTATTCCGTCTGCGAGGACGGACACAGCACCCGCAGGGCTCTCAGGCCTCAGGCCTCACCCCTGTGTAGAGACAAGCCGTGGGACACAGGCCCAGGACCTTCCATGCGGGTCCAGTTGCGTTGCCACTCCACCACACACTGGCCTGTTCAGTCTTTTTTTTTTCTTTTAATTTTGTCAGAGGGCATTTACACTTGCCAGAGAGAGGGGCAGTGAGACAGCAGCCCCGGGGAGCGATCGCACAGCGGACCCTCCTCCATCTCTCCCTCCTCTCGGGATCTTGGGCACACGTACACACGCACCTGGTGTGTTTTCCAAGCAGGCGGGGCTAGGATTCAGACTGCATAGTTAGTCACGTGGGATGGAGCTCCCTTAACCAGCGAGCCGTGGGGACAGGCCTGCTCAGTCATCTTTAAAAGCGCGCCCTCCGTTGAGACTCTGAGACGGAGTCAGCAGCCGTCTGCCTGCATCTGTCAGAGGGAGATGGCCCAGCTTCTCAGACGCTGCATCCAGAGACGGCCACTCAGACAGACCTGCGAACCTGCTCCAAGTGCTCGGGCCTGGGATGGAGGACCACCCTTGCAGGATTTGAAAACCAGAGGGGCTGGACTCTTCTCCTCGTCCTCTTCATTGCTCTGTCATCTGGCCAAGGTCCTGTCCTCAAGCCCGAGACCCTCAGTGGAAATGGATTTCGGCATAATCCGAGTGGCTGTCCCTGGGCCTGTGGGTCTCCCTGGGCCTGTGGCTTGGGAAGCTGAGAGTGGCATACTGGAGCTCGTCCTGGCTGGTCCTGGGCTCCGGGGCTGCAGCCGATGGCCTGGCTCCGGGGCCGCTGAGGGAGGTAAGAGGCAACTCCTTCTGGTTCTTCTTTGGATCCCGAGAGGGAGCATTTGGCGGACGGGGCCGGGAAGGGCTGCTCGGTGTGGCCTTCTGATTCCGAGCCTGCAGGAATAAGGAACAGCCATCATCCGCTCGTTCACCAGGTCTTTGGGCACCTACTATGCGCCCGGCACTGGCATTACAGGAAGGAGTCACAAGGAGCCCCCATCCTTGCCAAGCTTGCATTCCAGCTTAGGGACAAAAACGAACCGTAAACAAGCCGAACAGTGAGAAGAAAGTGACAGACGTGGGGCCAGCAGATGGCGTGGTGGCTACGCACTGGACTCCCACGTGGCTGACCATGGTTTGAGAGCTGGAACTGGTGGCTAATCACGCTGGGGGACATGGCCAAGATCCCGAGAGGAGAATGGAGGAGAAGGGATTGAGTGTGGGCATCCCCCGGGGGTGATTTCTCCCCCCCCCCCCACTGTTTCTCTCCAACCAGCACACACGCCCTATGGCAAAAAATCTTCAACATAAAGTGGTAGCTGTCCTGGGGAAGATGGAGCAGCATGAGAAGGCAGTGGAAGTGGAAGAGGGCGCCCGAGAGGCTCTCCCTGAAGGCCCATATTTAAGCAGTGACTGATGAGCTGAGGCGGGGAGTCCTCAGGGTCAGGGCAGGGACTATCTGGGAGCAATGATTTGGAACACCCTGAGCTGAGACGGGGATTGTGTTCCGGGAGGACGGGAAGGCTGACAAAGGCTGACGTGGCCAAGGCAGAGGAAATCTGGGAGAGGCGGGGGGATGAGGCCAGAGGGAGGAGGCCTAGAGACCTGGTGAGGGCCCCGATGGATGCTGAGTACGGTAGGAAGCCACTGGGGATTTTAACAGGAGAGCGAGATACTTCAACGTGGACCAGGGGTTTTCAAAAATCACAGACAATGCCTATTATGGCAAACCTATGCATGATGGCATGATTTCAAAATTACCCCAGAATAAACTCATACTTTAATTTTATTTTCCCACAAACTTTTTGTCTTTTCTTTTCTTTCTTTCTTTCTTTTTTTTTTTTTTTTTTGAGAGGTTTTTGCTATAGGGAGCATGCGCTCGCCAAAAAGACAGAGAGAGACAGAGAGAGAGAAAGCAAGAAATCACCCCCCAGGGGGGATGGCCACACCACAATCCCTTCTCCGTTCTCCTCTTGGGATCTTGGGCACGCACACACAAGCGCCTGGCGTGAGTTTAAGCCGCCGAGTCCGGGACTTGAACCGTGGTTGACTACACGGGAGTCCAGCAACATAGCCATTACACTAACTGCTGGTCCCTTCCCGCAAGCTTGCTGAAGTTCCCTCAAATATATATTTTTAAGTTTATACCTGGGAACCCTTACGGGTTCCTGGGCAGTTGCAAACGCAGTACACGGAGTCCCACACGCCCTTTACCTGGTTCCCCCAGGCTCGTGTTTCCCATAACGGGAGCCCGATACATAACCCGGGAGTCGAGGTGGGTACCACGCCTG